CAAATACTCAGAAAAAGAATTTTATTAACCATGTCTTGGCTGTGTCTGCACAAAGTGCTAAAAAATATTTTGTTATTCTAATGCTTTTTAATTTCAATTATTTTATAAGATATCTTTTCGAGAGAACCAAACCAGAAGTCATGTGATGAAATTTTGGCAAACAATGTTCATCAAAAAAATGCCAAGAAAAATTTTAAAAATTCTCGATCATATGTGAGTTATATATCAGTATCAATACAATAAATAAATTCACAAAATATATACGCAAAAGTAAACTGATTATTTATGTGAATTTGAGCTACTGTGGCCAGCTTTATTTGTACAGCAAAAAATAAAATGTATAAATTCTATCTTAATCATTGCTAAAAACTTATGTAAATTTTATTATTTATCGACTTGCTAGTATTAATGCTATTAAAAATAACTCTCAATCATAAGGGTATTTTTTTTGCCTGGAGAATATACAAAGGTAATAATCGAAAATTAAAATTTTTAGCCGAAATTCATAATCAATAGAACAGGTAATAAATATTTTAATTCTTGTAAACAAAACTAAGAGAGATAGGCATACAATATTTCCGAAACATATGAATATGATTAATTTGAAGATTTATTTATTATTATATTATTAAAAACAAATTATATTGAATACATGCATAGCTTGTTATACATAATTGTTTGTTTTCTACTTTATCCTCAAATACCATACTAACTAATCATTCTAGATCTACACTCTCACCCAAGAATTTAGATTTCAACAGCTCCAACCAATAAATATCATGTTTACAACTTAGCTTCTTCCTATCTTCAGCTTCTGGTGGCCAATTAATATGTTTATGATTCATAAAAGATGGGTAATACTCAATTTTATCTTTACCGACCTAATCGAAATCTATAAACATTTCTTTATATCGGCCTTGAGATTTGTCAACTAGAATGTTGGAATCACAGAGGTTAGCAAAAACTATACTTTCCTTATGCAATTTGTCAATAGCATCTTTGACATCCCTTAAAATCGCCTTATATTTATCACAACTAAGTAAGCTACAGTTATAAAGTGATTCTGCCTCAACATAATTCATCACTACCATATAGAAACTGTCTACCATCTTTTTGCTAATATAGAGTAATTTTGGTGCTTTTCCAATTTCGTAACATAGTTTGTGTACTCTACGATTATATTGCCACGCAAACTTAACAATAATTTTCTGCTCATCTTTTGTTATGGCTCTCCAATGAAGCTTGTGATCAACAAGTTTTTCTTCATATATAAATTCTACGATTGTATCTTGGTATTTGTATTGATTTGGATAGAGAAAAAAATGGTATAAATTTTGTCAATTTGTAGGTATATCTAGCAATGCATAATACTTTTAGCCTGTTGACTCTCAAGCACAAAGCTTTGAAAAGTTGTGTCACTCGCTCTACATGGGCTTGATTGTTTGTAGAAATAAGAGGTATAAAGTCTGTCAAGGAATCTATAATAGGTTTCTCAATATATACTGCCCTAAAATACATACCCACAGTCTAGCTAAGCACAAGATAAAAGATGGTCAGTTGTACTATTTGAGTACTTCCCATATGTCTTTTGGGTATAATATTTTGCAAAAGAAGCACTAGCCTGGATAGTTGGATCACAGCTACTAGTGCCAATTTCATTTTTTATTTCAACAAGAAAGCGTAAAACACTTTTTGAAAAGACGTTAGATTCCAATATACCATCATTTTTAAAATCATCTTCTAGGCTAATCATTCTTAATTCCTTACCAAATAATTTATGAATTTTTTCTTTAAACACTATAGAACGTTTATGTTCACTGTAGTATATTTCAGCTATTCCATTAATGAACTCAAGGGTCTATTCATAATACTCTCTCCCCATTTCTAGATCTTTATTATGGTAATCACGCAGAAACTGACTGAAAACATCATGATAAATTTGTACTGGTGGGCCAACGCATTCTGGAGGATAGTAAATAAGTAACTGCTTGTCTTTAACATAATAGTCAATAAGATTATTAAGAAGTACAAAAGATAACGGTAGAGGATAGCTCTTAATCTTTTTTACATTTTTTTTCTGTTCTGTAAAGATCAGAAGAGTTTAGTTGAGATTACAAAATTTCTACAGATACAGACATATGTTATACAAACAACCTTCTTCATAATTATCTAAATCGGAAAAATGTCACTTTGTAGTTGATGAAGATCTGCATTGCAAAAATTATTAGTTATATTGGAAGCACTCCACATAATAGCTTGCATACTATGAATAGATTCTCTTACAAGGTTACAATCTTCTCTCACTGAAGTGTTTTTAGTTTTTCTTTCAATTCTTTTATTTTCTGATCTTTTGTATCCGTATCTATATAATAAGTATGAGGCCCAAGTTAATAAATGAAATTATTGTGGAGAAAGCAGTATAGCTTTGGAATATGAGTCAGAGACTTGACACTTTGTGTTTTTGAATGCAGTTATAGTACTACTTATCCTCTCCTTCACCCTTGATTTTTTTAATAAATTCAGTGATGGTTTTAGCTAGTCTTCTTTTTAAACCATCTTGCATAAGTTCATTGACGTTCAAGCTGAGAAAATTCCGACCAGTAATTTCTTGTCCATGAAGAATATCGAAATGCTTATTCTCAAGTACTAAGTCTTGCTTGTCCAAAAACTCTATTAGTTGTTCTGTTGTTTTATATCTTCTCATTTCATCAGCTGTAGAAAGAACTTTTTCTCTAGCAGTAGACATGGTTATTTACGTATTTAGTTTTTGGGATAGGATGAAAAAATTTTTTTAGTAAGAAATAGTCATACATTCTACTTTTTTATAGTTTATACAACAATTAGATTGTCATACAGCAAATCATGTATACATTTTTTAAGCATAATCTCTAATCATACATGTGATTTTAAATACAGTAAAACTGTAATAATATTATTGTTCCGTTATAACAATATCGAAGTCGATAATTATTTCATTGTAATTATACGTTTAACAAATTTTATATCATTTGTGTAGTGTGATAATAATAACTCAAATTTTCTTAAGACTATTATTTCAGAAGAAATAGTACTTACGGCCTGCTTTCGAATACCACACCCGTGATCACTTTTTTAAAAAATAACACTTTTATTACAACATTAAACATGCTTTGGAGAGAATATAGCTACAATACATGGAATAGCCAAAATTTTCGAGCAAAATCCTGAAACATACACAAATCATGATTATGTATATTATTGCTAAATGCTTTCATCAGAGATTTTTACATATAAAGATATATTAGTTAATTGAATCAGAATTTGACAGATTTTTAACTACTGAAGTAAATTTATTGGGCCAATGTGCAATGTTT